AGTAGAAATAATTAGAATAGAAAAACTTGAATACATGGTGGCGAGTCACTCCCAAGAGAGAGAACAACAGGTTCATAATACAAACATATTGAAGCAAAAAACAATCTGGAAGAAAAATACAGTAAAGTTGAAAAAGTACATGATCTCTATAGAAGCAAACAAACTCATCTTGGAATCAGGACCTGTAGAGCAAATCTAAGGATAGTTCTCTAAGAACATGACACCTCAAAAAAACTGTGCACTGCACCACAATGCAGGAAATAATACAAGAAAACTCAGCTTCTGAATGTAGAAAACAAAGCACTAAGTGGAAAAATCCACACACTGCCTCCAGGAAAACAACAACAAAAAACAAAATAAAACAAAAAACAAACAAACAGGCTTCAAACTCCAGGATGGAATTTAACAATTTAATAACTCTAATAAGAAACAAAAAAATTCCATAAATGTCTTGGGAAAAGAATTTTAAGTATAAAAGCAAAGAAATTAGAATATCATAAGACTACCCTACAGCTATAAGAAGATACAGAAGGGAATGTTCTGATGTATTGCAAAAAGCAAAGGCATTCAAGATGCAACCCCCAAGGTGCAAACCTGAACCTAATCATAAATGAATAAAATTCCTATTCAATAAAAGAGAGGCATCTGAAACATTATCTATCTATCTATCTATCTATCTATCTATCTATCTATCTATCTATCTGTCTGTCTATCTATCAGACAAGGGGAAACTTCTACCATGGGGCAAGGCCTTTATTCTCAGTACTTCTCTTGTGAGTTGTTATTTCTAAGAGTGAGGCACGATAGAAAAGATGGACAAGATGCACATAGAATTTATCTAGAAGAGGACAGTCAGATTTGGCAAGTCAAAAATTTCATTTCAATATAGAATACAGAGTCTATAGAGGGAATCAATAAGCTTACTGACTATAAAGCAAAGAATTAAAGTTCAGAATGGCAGAAAAGGAAGAGAATTCATAAAGAGAACAAAGTAAAGAAATTCATGCTAGAAAAAAGCACAAAAAAGAAAATAATGACAAACCAAAAAAATTCAGAGGAAAAGAGGAAGGGTGGTAGTGATTGAATTTAACCACTAAATAGGGGGGAAAGAAAGGAGAAAAGAAGCCAAAATTATATAACTTTTCAAAGGAAGAAAAAATCATTTAATAAAATTCCAATCAGATTAAAGAGTGGACAAATAGGAGAAGGAAGGGATTAAGGGTGTGGGAAAGGGAAGAAAGCCTATGGGAATAGGGTTGCTTTAAAAATAATTAAGCAGGGGTAGCTAGGTGGCACAGCCATCTCAGACACTTGACACTTGCTAGCTGTGTGACCCTGGGCAAGTCACTTAACCCCAACTGCCTCACCAAAAAAAAAACAAACCCAAAAAATGATTAAGCAAAGCTAATCATAGAGGCAAAATATTGACTTAAAAGAGAAAGAGGGAGAACAAAAAATCCCTCTCAATTTAGGGGGGAAAAGGTACTAGAGGCAAATAGAAGAAAGTAAATCTAACTTTTATAACTTTAAATATGAATTAAGTGAAATAATCCAGTAAAACTGAAAGAGAGTGGAGAGGAAAACAAACCCCATAATCCATCGTTTTAAAAAAACACATCTAAAAAGCATAGCCACAGAGATAATAAAATGAAAGTGTGGAAAAAATTTACTTTGCATCAAGTGAAACCAAAAAAATCCCAAGAGTTATAATCATGCTGTCAGAGAAAATAAAAATAAAAATTTACAGTATGCTTAAAGGAAACATACAACAAACCAATGTTAATATTAAATTCTCAGATGAAGAAATTAAAGCCATCTATAGTCTTATGAAAAAATGCTCTAAATCATTATTGATTAGAGAAATGCAAATCAAAACAACTCTGAGGTACCACATCACACCTATCAGTTGGCCAACATGACAAAACAGGAAAATGGTAAATGTTGGAGAAGACGTGGGAAAATTGGAGCACTAATGCGTTGTTGGTGGAGTTGTGAAATGATTCAACCATTTTGGAGAACAATTTGGAGCTATGCCCAAAGGCCTATAAAAATGTGCATACCCTTTGACCCAGCAATAGCACTTCTATATCCCAAAGAGATCATACAAATGGGAAAAGGACCCACATGTACAAAAATATTCATAGCAGCTCTTTTTGTGATGCAAAGAATTGGAAATTGAGAGGATGCCCATCAATTGGGGAATGGCTGAGCAAGATGTGGTATATGAATGTAATGGAATACTATTGTGCTAGAAGAAATGATGAACAGGCTGACTTCAGAAAAACCTGGCAAGACTTATATGGTCCAATGCTGAGTGAAATGAGCAGAACCAAGAGAATGTTGTACACAATAACAGCCACATTGTGCGATGACTAATATTGATAAACTGAACCCTTCCCAGCAATACAAGGATCTAAGACATCTCCAGAGGCCTCATGATGGAAAATGCTATCCACATCCAAAGAAAGAACTATGGAAGTTGAATTGCTATTTTTTTCTCTTCTGTTGAGTTTTGTTTCATCTTTCTGATGGTTCCTCCTATTGGTTTTAATTTTTACTTACAACACCACTAATGTGAAAATATGTTTAATAGGAATGTAAATGTATAGCCTATATCAGATTGTGTGCTGTCTTGGGGAGGGTGGTGGGGAGGAAGACGGAGAAAAATTTTAAACTCAAAAGCATATGAAAGTGATTATTAATAAATCAAAATAAATTAATAAAATTAAAAATAAAACAAAACAAAACATTAAATTCATATGCTTTAAATAGCACAGTTTCTAAATTAATAAATGAATTATTAACCTAATTTTTAAAAGACTTTGATAATAATGATAATAGTAGGAGACTTCATTGCTGTCTCAGATTTGGAGAAATCTAAGAGAAAAATGAGCAAAAGAAAAAGTGTGGAACTGAACAAATTTTTGTAAGACAGCAATTATAAATTAGAGCTTCAAGAAAGTTGACACCTTCAGAATCCAACCATGAAAGGATCCATCTGCCTACATGTCCTTCTATCTATGTATCTCTCTATCTAGATGAAGATGTATTTCTTGGCACCACATGGCACTTTTACAATAATGGATCGTGTGTAGTGGAATAAATTGCAAATAAATGTAAAAGGGCAGAATATGCTTTATAGACCACAATGCAATAAAAATAGTAATCAATTCAGGAAGCATGAACAAAAGACATAGCCCTAAATGGAGACTTAATAATGAAATATTAAATAATGCATGGGTCAAAGAACAAATCCTTCAAACAATTAATAATTATAGAAAAGATAGTTCAGCTATATACCAATCAAACTCCCCAAAGAATATTTTCTAGAACCAGAATAATAATGACATTCAAACAGAACAACAAAGGGTCAAGAATCTCAAGGGGAATAATGAAAAAAAATGGAAGAGAAAACAATCTAGTTGTACCAGACCTCAAACTGTATTACCAAACTGTAATAATCAAAATGATTTGGTACTTTTTTTAAAAGAGAGTTTGATGAGGAGACATATTAGGTATGTAAAATGCAGAAGCAGATAAACACAGTATTTTAATATTTGATAAACTTACAGTCCCCTCCTACTAAGGAAAGAACTCACTGAGCCATTCCCTAATTCATGGGCCCCACCTCCTTAGCTCCCAATTCTTTACCACCACAAAATGAGCTGTTGCAAACATTTGTGTAAATACAAGTCCTTTCTTATTTGATTTTTGGGAGGCATAGGCATAATGATCACTTACTTGTCAAATGTGATTATCTTTTCTCAGTTTTTATCCTCCTTGACCTCTCTGCAGCCTTTGACATTGTCCATCACTTCCTCCTCCCTGAGTCTCTCCTTGCTAGGTTTTTGTGACCTTTCTCTAATGGTTTTCCTACTCCTTGTTTGACTGCTCTTCAGTCTCTTTGGTTGGATCTTTGTTCATATTATGCTCCCTAATTGTTGAATGTGTATGGGAGGGAGGAAAAAGAGGCTTCTGTTAATTAAAAAAAAAACAAACCAACCAGACATGTATGATAGGGATGTAAAATTTTGCATATCCTTTCAGATGAGGTCACTGTATTTATTAGATTTTCTTAACTGTTTTACTTTGTCACAAGAGACCTTTCATAAGTTAAAATTCTTTTTAATTGCTTTCAAAGGAAGTTATTTGTAAATGCATGTAATATAAAAAGAAAATACATCAATAAAATAGAAAGAGACCAAAAAAGCATGAGAACAAAGAAGGAGTTGTGCTTGACATTTAATTCTGAGCCAGGGTGACAGGGAAGATGGTGGTGTTCTCAACAGGAGTAGGGAAGTTAGGAATTGGGGAGGGTTTTGGGGAAAAGATAATGGGTTCTATGTTGGACATGTTGAGTTTAAGATGTCTAAGAGACATATAGTTCGAGATGTCCAAAAGGCATTTAGATATTTGAAACCAGAGGCCAGAAGGGAGTCAGTTAGAGTTGGATTAGTAAATCAAAGCCATTTGCATAGAGACAATAATTAAGACCATGAGAATTGAAAAAGTCATCAGGCGAAATAGTACAGAGGGAGAGAGGAGAGCAATAAAATACCAGCCTATGAAGGAGCTAATACAACTGTGTACTATGATATTTGGGCCTGGAGAAGTAACGACCCTTCTGCCTCACCCAGACTTAAGGTATCTTTTGAAGTTCCCACCCTACTTGGCAGTCCTGAGGCACCCAACCCTCTGTATCCAGAATTAAGGGATATTGGAACAAGTTCTCCTAAGGCTAAGGCCAAGGTTATCCTGAGGTTCAGGTCATCCTAGCAATAGGACAACCCAAGGTCATATATGTCATGGTGGCTTGAAAGGACACTACATACATGAGATGCTGCTGGACACTAGTAGTCATGTTTCTATCATACTTGGGGATTCCTCCTAGCTTCCCTGACTTCCTTTGAGACTCAGATCAACTCCTACCTTCTTTAGGAGGTCTTTTATAACTCCCCTTCCCCCATTGCTAGTGTCTTCCCTTGGAATCCTCCATTTACCTTTGATCTTGTATGCGTCTTGTTATCTGCATCTTGTTTCCCCCATTAGAATGTGAGCTTTTTGAGAGAAGGGGCCATGTTTTTTATTTTCTCTGTATGTCCAGTGTTTAGTACAGTGCTTGGCACATACTTTTTGACTGATTGAATGACTCATTTGCCACATCATAGTTGCTGTTTCTGACCTCATCAATGTGGTAGATCAGGTAATCTGGGCCCAGGGTGAGTGCTATCCAGTCTGTTACCTCTCTATTCCTCTGATTGAGACTAGTCAGGGACAGTTCACTTACATCTAAATACTCCAGTATACATTCATTGTCCTTCTTCATGCATCTCTGAGCTATCTATCCCTCAGACTGCCACATTTTGGTGGGCAGAGTCCTGAAAGAAGTCTCCTTCCTGAGGACATTGACACATAATGATGACTAGATTAGATGAATCCACAAAAGTAGAGGTCCTGGGTATGATGGTGCCCATTTGAGGGACAAGGTATAGGCAAATCAACATTAAGAAAATCTAGGGTCTAGTCTAATCAGTCATATTTTGGATATTACAGTGAATGGGGAGAATCCAGATGATTCCAGCCACAGACAGTGGAGAATAAGCCAGTGGTCAGAGTGAAGGAAGGCGAGAATTCCAGGTATGAAAGACAGCCAGAGAAAATGCCCAGAGACAACAGATGAGGTGTCTTGTCTGTGGAACAGCTAGGAGGCTAGTGTCACTGGATCAAAGAGAACGTATTGTAGAGTAAGGTGTAAAAATACCGCAACAACTGGAAAGCTAGGAGGGAGCTAGTTTGAGAAGTGCTTTGAATGCCAAAAAAGAGCATTTTGTATTTGGTCCTAGAAACAGCAGGAAACCATTGGGGTTTATTGAGTAGATTGGTGGCTTGATCAAACCTGTGCATTAGGAAAATCAATGGGAAGAGACTTGAGCAAAATGGGCCCACTAGTCAGTTTTTGCAATAATCTACGTGTGAGGTGAGGAGAGACTGTACCAGAGTGGTGGCAATGCCAGAGGAGAGAAGGAGGTGTAATGGAGAGGTGTTGCAAAGGTGAAAACAACTGGCCTCATCAATATATTGGATGTGGAAGATGAAAGATAAGAGTCCAGTTCCTAGGTTGTGAGGCCAAGGGATGAGGAGGATGATGGTGCTCTCCAGAGTAACAGGGAAGGTAAGAAGGTCGAGGGAGCTTGGGGGAAAGAAAATGAGTTTAGACGTATTGAGGTTAAGATGTCTACTGCACATCCAGTTCAAAATGAGATGGGAGACTGGAGATGAGCAAGAGTTTGTGGCACGATACATTGATTTGAGAATCATCAGTAATTAAATCCCTAGGAGCGCTGAGATCATCAAGTGAGGGAGTATTGAGGGAGAAGAGAAGAGGGACACCTCTGTATGGCTAGAGGGTGTGATCTGGAAGAAAAGGAGAGAAAGAAGGAGTGGTCAAATAGGTAGTAGAAGAACCAGAAGAGCATGGTGTTCTGTAAACCTAGAGAGAAGAGAGTATCAAGGAAGAGAGAGCGATTGACAGTGTCAATGATTGCAGAGAGGACAAGGACAATGAGATTTGAGAAAAGGCTGTTGTGTTTGGCAACTAAGAAATCATTATTAACTTTGGAGAGAGCAGTTTTGGTGGAATGATAAGGTCAGAAGACAGATTGTAAGGGGTTAAGAAGAGAGTGAGAGGAGAGAAGGTGGAGGAACCTATTGTAGATAGTCTTTTTGAGGAGTTTAGCTTCCAAGTACAGAGGAGAGTATCATGTTTCATGAAATACATCCTTCTTCTTTGTGGGCCCCCTTGCACCATTGTCTCTGGTAAGTTCTATTGTGTTTTCCACATCTGGTGCCATCCTCAGATAGTGAGTGTCGTTGAATGATGGAATACTGTTTTGAAACAACAGCTTTATCATCATGTTTTTTATTACATGAACTAATGCTACATTTCTAATGTTGAAGAAGCTATGTCTTTGACAACAATTTGCCCTTGAAGGAAGAAGACTCTAGTGTCTGGTGATCCCTCCCCACCCAAATCCAACATTCTTCCAACCTTCTCTATTTCTATTGAGAGCACCACCAAGATTCCAATCACCAGGCTCATGACTGTGACATCCTAATTGACTGTCCATTCTTATTTACCTCAAATATCAGATTCATTGCCAAATCTCATAATTTCAATCTTTATAATATCTCTCAAATATAGTCTTTTCTCCTCATCACCCAGCCACCGCTTCAGGGCAGGCACTCATCACCTTTCTCTTGGACTTTTGCAATAGCCTTCTTAGTAATCTCTCTCCCTCAAATCTCTGCCTACTATGATCTGTTCTCTACTTAGCTGCCAAAGTGATTTTGCTAAACTATGGGTCTATGTTATTCTCTTGCTTAATGACCTCCATTGACTCCCAATTACCTGCAAGAGCAAATAAAAACTCCTCTCTGGCATTTGAAGCTTTTCATGACAAGGCCCTTTCTTATTTTACCCGTCCTCTTATACTGTGCTGTCCTTTACACATGACACTCAATGTCCCAATTCCATGCCTTTGCCCTGGCTGTCCCCCTACTTAGAATGCTTTACCCTTTCACATTTACCTCTTGGTTTCCCAGACTTAGTCAAAATTCTACGTTCTTTAATGTGGTCCTCCAGATTCTAGTGTCTCCCCTTCTGTATCTCACACACACACACACACACACACACACAACTAGATATATGTGCATATCTGTACACGTTATTTGAATGTTTCCTTCACAAGAACATAAATATGCTTCTTGATGGTGGGGATTATGAACTACTTTGTTTGCATCCCCAGAGCTTAGCACAGTGCCTGGCACACTTAATAGATGCTTTTTTGACTGACTGCATTAACAAGAACACCAACTCTATCAAAGATTTTAGATCAGGCCTTTGACAGCTGCTATCAGTGAATAAATCAGAGGTTTAAAAAAGCACCTACTTAGTCAAAAGCTAATCTGAAAACTGAGTTGTGGGGACTGAGTGGGATTTTTGCTCTGGATTGTTTAAATAGATATGATCCTATTAGAATTAACCAGGAAAATTGCCAAACTTTCCTTCCACTTTTTGGACTATATTAGTCACTTGGTTACTTTTAATCAAAGAGCAGATGTTAGAGGATGCAAGAACTAAAGTAATATCAGAATCCTTAAAAACAAAACAAAACAAAACTGGGTGTCTACAAACACCAAAAAAGACTATGGGGAATCACTATTCTTTTTTTCCTAAGCAAAAATGATACTGAAAATTATGTCCACAAGAGGGCAACAGCATCTCAGCCTTCTCAAAGGTAAACCCTATGGCTTGTGTATCTGATGGCCAGCTACAAATAACTTGCTTCGGAGAATAATAAAGTGTAGCCACACCTTAGACAAAAATTACATTTACATATGTATGTTTATATGTCTACATATATGTGTGTATAAATCGTAATAGGAAGGCATCAATTATTTAATTTGGTAAAATTCATATGTCACTTATTTTTAAAGAAATTCAGAACTAAAACGAATCTCGCCCAGTTTACGTGTGCTATACACATTCGAAAGTTATTCATTTTCTTTAATGTTCAAGATGCCGTTTAAACTGAACCTCAATTGGATACTGTTACTAAAAATCTAAAAGCCTTGCAATACAGATCCTTCATTCCCTCTCTAATGGATCCTATCCCCCAAACGTTGTTCATTTATTTCAATACTTTGAAACAAGTAAATTCCATGGAACGAAAGGATTGTCTTCACGGAATACTTCAAACGTTTCATTTGCTCAGCTGGAATTCTCCATCCTCTTTCTTCTAGAGGTCATTTATTTCTCCTGGCCCTCAAGTTCCTGCTCGCAGAGGCAGAGATAATAGAGCCTTGCTTTCATTTTCTCCCTTTTCCAAAACTTTCTTTTTCAGCTAGAGCTAATATACTAGTTTGAAAAACACTTCCTCTCCCCCTCCCCCACAAAAAGGGTGAAAAAAGCTTTTCACTTTTACAATATGTGTTTAGTTTGAGACAAGTAGCTTCTAGTTAGGAAGACCTGGGTTCCAGTGTTACCTCTGACACTTACTGGCTGTGTGACCCTAGGGATGTCTGATGCCCATTTGCCTTGGTAGCGGTTTTCTCACCGGGAGTTCCAGACTAATAAACTCACAGGTCTTGTCTAAACGTATCTACATCTACAATTTGTTTCCAGCACAGCAATGGATATGCTTGTGTGCTTTCCCCCTTCGGAAGACTTTTGCAAAATGCTGTGACTGTTTTTTAATTGCAGGGATGATGCCTAATGCTTGTCGGGTTCAGATCTCTGCCTCGGTACACAGTCCACTGCGTTTTTCATAGCCCCTTCTCCTCCGTCATTGTTTTCACTCCTTCTAGCAGAACACAGCTCTAAGTTGGAAAGAGCCCGCAAGGCCGGAACAAAGACTTATACTTACTTCTCATCGCATTGCATCTGTTGTCTCTCTTTCTCCAACCCTCTCTAAATCCTCTCCTTGAGCCGGCACTAGTTATTAGCTGGCAGTCGGTGACTGCGGCTCTTGTCAAGGGTACCCCCAACCGCGCTACAGTATTTTGCAACGAGAGAAGAGAAAACAAAAACCTCTTTCTTTTTTTCTCCCGCCACTCCTGGAATCGTCTGGGAGGCTGGGTTCGGTGCAATGTCGGAGAGGTCCTGAGTAGTTAGCTCCTATTTTTAGCTCCTATCTAACACTTCTAAAGTCCCCAAAGAAAACCGGCGATGGAGTAGGGTATTCTCTCCCCCCTCTTCTCTCCTCCACCCCCAACTAACCATGCGGACTAGACAATCATTCTAGAGCAAAGATTCTTAACGTGTGTGTGTGTGTGTGTGTGTGTGTGTGTGTCTGTTGCTGTTGTTGTTGGACTCTTTTGGTAGGCTAGTGAAATCGATAGGTCCTTCTCTGAGTAATATTTTGTTTACATTCATAATTGAAAGAAATTCTATATTTTATTTAAAGGTCACTGAAAATAAAGATGCCATGTTTTTCCCCGACCAAGTTCACGGACCTTTTGAAATTTAGAACCCCTGATCTACAGAATGAAAACAAAACCGAAATTATTTAGGCATTTCAGAACGAAA